ACATAATATGAAACCACAGTCCATCTGTTGAGAAAACATTTCATTATGTAAACACCAAGAGAAAGCGCAGCAAAAGGCTACAGTTTGCTACAGTTTGCAGCCCTCTTCCCACACAGTTACACCTAACCCAACTGCACCTTACTCCATCAAGACAAACCCAAACTGCTGTCACCCACTTCTCTCAGCCAGTAAGTACTATACCAAGTCACTTAACCAGCAACAAAAAACCATAGTGACTTTTCCCTGAAAGACTTTTTACCTATAAGCATGCATACTCCCTCCCTCCCGAAAAATTCACTTTTCTTAAATTCTATTAATCTAAGACCAACTTCACTTAAGGAAATCACCACTAATCCAGTCCCCATCCCGGTCCCCTGCGTCTTCAAGATCTTTACCTTTAAAGCACAGGACACAAGATTTGGAATTAGGAAATCAAAGTTCCTTCCTTTCTCAGCTAGGCAGTGTGGAGCCCTGAGAATTCAGTTAGTCTCAGGATTCTCCACGGTAAACTGAAGTGATGATACACCTACGATCTTCACCACTACAACACCCAGAGCAGGTGAGCATCTCTAGGTTATTGTACCCTCCCCACTTACATTACCATTCTGTCTCATTTCTGTATTGCAGAGTTTTTAGAACTGGGGTAAAGATAATACAAGTTAATACATCCAAACATCTAGTATAGCCTAAGGAACATAACAAAGAATCATTTGGCCGGGCAATGGTGGCTCACGCTTTTAATTCCAGTGCTTGGGAGGCAGAGGCAAGCGGATCTCTAGGACTCTGAGGCCAGCCTGGGGTACAGAGCTAGTTTCAGATCAGCCTCAGGTTGTTACACAGAAAAAAACCCTCAAAAAACAAACAATCATTTGGCTTGAGTCTTGATAAAGAACTTTACATATCATCAAATCTTCATCTGTGCCTATCTGAATTCTAGAAACCCTTCAAAAACATTTTTAGTCAGAAAATGTCCAGGAAGCCCCCTTCAGTCACCTCAGTCTATACTACTACTTCCTTGTCAAATTTTAATATGTTTCTTCACTAAAAGTGATATTAAAAACATTCAACAATAGACACTACAAGGACACTAGTCAATCAAAAAAAAAAAGGTAACCAATCAAAACACAAGCAGCCTAGTGGGCAGTGGGTATACACAAGTCCTACTCACTGCTAAAAAAAACAGAAACTTCAAATTTAAATACACATACTTCTCATCTGATTTCTACAATTTCATGAATTATACAAGCAAGTATCACAAAGTAAATAGCATGCAATGTTCTCCAATTATATATGTAATTCTAAATTAAAACAGCATAATCTGCACTTACATAAATAGGATTGTTCAGTCAAACAGAATTTATTTATCAACACCTATTTATGCAGAACACAATAAAAGACACAGTGTTAAGTTTTAAGGACATAACGAAAAGGCAGAATTCATACCCTGGATACCCAATCAATACTCATATAGTTAACAATGCAGGATGGTAGCCATGAATAACACAAACTTTAATGCTATACAGTTCTAAGAGATGGAGTTCAAAGAGAGCTAAATGAAGCCTACACAGAATGACAATCTAAGAACTTCTGTTCTCATAAAAGGACAAAATAAGCATGCAGGGGGAAGGCTTAAGGTGGAAAAGCAGCTATCACTACAGTTTGAAGTTCTGAGACATTATCTCTCTATGGATGGCCCTAGTCATCAGCCTCAAGTACTCTCTGGGTACCACATGGGAAAGCTTCCTACTTCAATGGGCAGCCCAGGATAGTTTGGCATCAGTTCATTAAAAAAAAAATCCTCCATGACAGAAACACCACAAAAAAAAAGTAGATTTAGAGGGTAACTGGCAGGACTCAGCTGTTAGGAATGTTTTCCAAGGAAGTCATGAAAGGGCAGGCAACAAACAGCATTCTAACACGTGATACAGCTATAAACAGTAATGCTGTGTACCAGGGACAGGGAACCAATTTCCCTACAAAAATCTGTATTGGAGAAAACAGAAGCTGGCAGTGAGACATAAATAATGCTCAGACAGTAAAGAGCAACTTCCAGTTTTAAGAGAAGCTAAATTATAAAGAAAAGGCATGTGAGCTCCTTCTGAATATATAGGAGGATACACTAAACATCAACCTAACTGTCTGGGCCACAGCTTCCTCTTTCTAGGGGGATAGGAGTTCGAGATAAGGTCTCTGTAATTTGTAGCTCTGGCTGTCCTAGAACTCACTCTGTAGACCAGGCTGTCCTCAGAGATCCTTTGCCTCTGCCTCCCGAGTGCAGGGATTAAAGGTGTGCGCCACCATGCCAAGTTGGCCATTGCTTCTTAACTGAGTCATAACTCCACAGAGAGGCGCTGGGGAGGCCGCAGCAGCTCTGGCAACAGTAAAGGGCTTCTGAATACACAACACCCAAAGACTAGGTCAAAATCAAGTGAGTGATGATCTGAGGTGTTCCTAGGTCAAAATCAAGTGAGTGATGTCCTGAGGAGTTCCTGGTCAAAATCAAGTGAGTGATGATCTGAGGAGTTCCTGGTCAAAATCAAGTGAGTGATGTTCTGAGGAGTTCCTGGTCAAAATCAAGTGAGTGATGTTCTGAGGTGTTCCTGGTCAAAATCAAGTGAGTGATGTTCTGAGGAATTCCTGGCGGTGCATGGTGCAACTTCACTACAGCCTTAGTCTGAACACACATGCTGCCATGCTATCAATGCCGAGAGTCTGGACTATTATTTTATGAGACTTTTAAAAATATTTCACTTCTGTGCATTGGTGTTTTGACTGCATTTATATCTATATGAGTGCTGGGTACCCTGGAACAAGAGTTACAGACAGTTGTTAGCTGCCAAGTGGGTGTTGGGAATTGGACTCAGGTTCTCTGGAAGAGCAGTCAGTCGGTGCTATTAACAACTGAGCCATCTCTCCAGCCCCTATTTTATGAATTTTAATTTTTATTGTACATACAAATTTTTTACTTTCTCAGAAACATGATCATTAACTACAGAAAAGGCTTTCATTCCTGGTGTATCCTTGATCGTATTGTGTTAGAATGTTTGATTTTAAAAACTGTTTAAGTTGCTAACTTAAGTTTCATTTTAAAAATTGTTAAGATAATTTCATCTTCCAACAATTTCTGAAATGGCTCTAAACATATGTAACTATGTGAAGTGGCATTGGATGATTTAATTCTCTATGTAAAAATAAACTCACACACCTCATTACAATGAGAATTTGCTTTAATCTTTAATAAACAGTAAAACTGTATGGTGCCAGTGAATTACTTTAAAATAATTTTATTTAAGATCTATTATCAGTATGTTTGACTTATATACCTGCTTTCTACATCTATATATTCAAGGTTACATACAATTTCTTGAGAAAAGAGGGTGGCAAACAGGAAGTTTATAGAGGTGTTGGTCTAGGCTTTGAGTAATAAGAGCATCTAGGCCAGTGTTGTATTACACAACTGCTTAAGTAGGAGATAAACTCCTCCAGGGCATGGACCACCCTTCTCTGCAGCCAATCAATACTGCTAAACACACGAATGTGTCCTGCTTTGCCCTAGGAAGGAAAGAATGAATTATTTTAGTCAAATAACTGTGCGGAGTAATGGCCACTTAAATTTGATGCATAATTATAACAATCCTCCCACTTTGCCCACAGTTATCTTCCTTCCTAAGCCAGTGTTAAACCCTCTGCATCATCTATCGAGGACCCATGTGAATGCAATGTTCAAGTAAATTAAGAAAGACACCTAAGTTGTAAGAATTAAGTACCAACTTTCTTTAAGTGGGCTATGCAACTTTGGTGTAGCAGGTGCACCGATTTTGAACTCTTAAAGACCTAATTGCAAATTCTAACTTCTGCACTTAGTAAGAACTTAATCTCTTGGACCTTAGTTATACAGGACAAACAGTGGTAGCCCTGATGGTTCAGGTATAGGTGTCAGATACTGTACTATGGTGTACCTTTTGTATATGCATGAAATAATAAGTAGTAACTAGCCGGCACCCACAGTCTAGAGAGACTTTTTTTTGGCTTTTGCTTTTTAAAAATTTTTGTTATCCAATTTCAGCAACAGAAATGTATTTCACTGCTAATGCTGAGCCTCGGTATTTTGTTTTCTCCTATTTTAATTTGGTTACGGACGAAGAGTAAAGTTTTTCACTCTTCCCTCCACGGGGTGACAACCAGTATATCACGACCGGCTTTTATATTTTGAAAGACCACACAACATCCCCCCTCAAAACCCAGCTACAGAGGTCTGATCTAAAACTACCTTCACTTGAGGAAACGTTATATCCAAAACAACGATCCCTTCGAGAAAATGAAGCATTCGGCCAATTCTACACGATCAATCCCATTAAAATGTTCCCAAACCTGGAGTGCACGAACGTTCAAGTTTCTACTACCAAGACAACCCGCAGCCTTCCGATCACTGGACTCTTAACTCTCCCAGACTCACGAAAGGAGAACATTCCGCGCATCTTCGCGCCTGCTTCTCACACAAAGCCCCCGGTGGAAGAGTCGCCCTCGGCGGGTGCCGACACTCACGACAGAACCGCCCACCCGGGGTCCCGGCCTTCGGCGCCCCTTTCGACCCCCAGGGGAGCCCTCCACGCTCCGAGCCCCCGAGCGCCTCCACTCCGGTGCCCGCCCGCGCCCCAGCAGCCCCACGCCCGGGCGCGCTAGGGTAAGGCCACCGGGGCCCCCGTCCCGGCCGGCCTCGCTCCCCTAAGGGCAGCCCCCGGCCTCCGCAGGCTAGCCCGCCGCTGCCCCCGGGAGCCCAAGAGTGCCGGCCTCCCGGCGCTCGGCCACCCGCGCCCGACAGCGCCCCCGCCCCGCCTCTCCTCCCCGCCCCGGCTCGCGTGGCGCCTGCCGGGTCAGGAGAGCCCGGCCGGCCGGGCGCCGCCACCTGCGCCCCCGGCCCCGCGCCATGTTTGAGAAAGAGCAGAAGCCAGTCAGAGGCCGGGCCCGGCCCGCGCGCCCCGCAGCCGCCCGCCGCTCACCCTTCGTCCCCGGTAGCAGCAGCGTCGCCGCCGCCGCCGCCACCAACACGATGAGAAGCAGCCGGCGACGCGGAGCAGCAGCCGCCGCCGCCTCCATGGTCCCGCCGCCGCCGTTTGTGGCCCGGCCCCGGCCCCGGCCGCTGCTTCTCCTCCGCTAGCCTCGCCTCGCCTCGCCCCACCTCCCCGCCGCCGCCGCGGCCTCGCTCCGGCCCTTTGTAACTGCTCGAGGGACGCGCGCCCATTGGCTGCCCGGCTCCCGCCGACCCCGCCTCCCCCGCCGCCCGAGAGCGCCCTAGAGGGACCCAGGCGAGAGCCCCGCCCGCGGGGGAACCTCTGGGTGACCAATGAGCGGCCGCGGGCTTCCGCCTCTGACCACGCCCCCGCACGGCTGGGCCTCTGGCCACGCCCCCGCACCGCTGGGCGCCGCTACTCCAGCCGCCGCGGGCCGACTGGCGCTCTCCCGGCGGGTGGGGGCGGGGTCCGGCCCGCGCGCCAGACGGAGCCCGCAGTCCCCGCTGAGCGCAGCGTGCGCCTGTGCGAGGTGCTTAGGGGAAGGCTGTGGCCGTTGCACGCTCTTTTCTTCCACCCCAACCCCACCCTGACTTCCCCCTGCACCACCCTGCTCCGCGAAGCCCAACTCTCGCCACTCGGGTCCTTCAGTGCCGCCCGCGCTTCAACTTCCCTTCCCCTAGACTCACGCCTCAACTCCCAGCCTCCCCGAAAGATAACCCGATTTCTTCCTGCTCTCCACGTCCGCCCCAGACCTTGTCGCCCCCTCCTCGGATTCCAGTCCCAAAGTCGCGTCCCAGATTCGGATCCCCGAGGCGGAGCTCGGACACACCCCCGGCTGGCCTTCTGCCTCGGCTGGCAGCGCCACAGACCGGGGATCCCAGCCGCCCTCCTTCCCTCCCACCCTTCCCGGCCCCGCGTGGAAGCGGAGAGCCCCGCGGGTTTCGAAGGAGCGGGGGATTGCCCTACCGAGCATCCCGCCCCGGGGCGAAGCGGGAGCAGTCAAAGGTACTTAGAGCTGTCTCCGACACGCCTGTGTAATAATTTCGAGGTGTCACTAAAAACCCAAATAAACTCAGCTCCGCTTTCATTCTGAATTCCTAATTTACTGTGAGACGCTCCACCCACCTTCCCTCTGGGACGCCAAAATGAGCTCCAGATTTGTAATTCTTCCTGTCAGACTAGTCCTTTCTTCAGACACAAACACAGCCACGGAGGCGGCCGCATGGCTCCGACAAGCATTTTTCCGCAGAACCTTTTAAGGAGAAAATTCTATTTTCTGTGTGATTTGAACTCGTAATTAAATAAAGCTCGGTAGTAGGAATCCGCCGGCCTCTGGTATCGATTGGTAAACTGCTTTAGAGCCACTCTCCAACAATTTGATCCTTCTGTGAAGGGAAACCGTGGGGGTTAGAGATGGGGTCTGAGACTCCTCCTTGGCTGCAGCTGGGACACGCTTGAGCAAGTCCTCAGCCTGCCAGAGCCTGAGCAGGCTGGCTCTCAGGGCCTCCTGTCTGGGGCTCCAGAACCATCGGTCCCGGCTCAAGTGCAGTGAGGCAGCAGAAACCGGCCAACTTCGAAGGCAATTGGCTCTGGGAGACTTAGACGGCCTTGACACACTCGAAATTTCATATATATATATTTCATATATGGCATGTAGCTTATATATATATATATATATGATGTGTGTGTGTGTGTGTGTGCAAGGATGCACCTTGTTAACGCGGTGTTCCAGAGTCCAGAAGAGGGCCTCTGATTCCTTGGAACGGGGGTTACAGGCAGTTATGAGCTGCCCGACAAAGGTGCTGAGAACAGAATCCCTTTCTTTGCAAGAGCAGCGATGCTCCTAACCACTCACCTATTGCTCCACACCCCCCCCCTTGGATTTTAATGACAGGGTCTCACTATGTAAACCAGGCTAGACTGGAACTTGGAATCGTCTAGCCTCAGCCACTTCCCCGCTCCTGTTACAGACAGGTGCCAAGATGCCCCTCCCCCTGCTTTACTTTTTCTAGTCTAGTGTGTCTTGCATGAGATCTCAAAAGATTTTTATTTAATGCATGAATAATTAATCTCTTAGGATTTTCCTCTGGTTATCTTTACTAGTGGGTAGCAAATAACAAAAGCACCTATCCCACTTAGAAATGAAAGGGACTGAATCATAAGACCAGGGTGTCTTAATGACATAATATGTCTGGAACAGTGTCTGGAACATAGTAAATATTTAGTTAATGCCAATCCCTTTGCCCATCCCCTCTGCATGATGTGAACCTTGAGTCCAACTCAAGCCTTTGCCTTATGAAGCCTGCAGTGAGCTGCTCAAGGGCCTCTTCTATGACACATTTCCAGGTCCCGAATGTTTTCCATGGAACTAAGTGTGCTCGCTAGGAAACTGAGGAACAGGAAGGAGGAACAGACTATTTTTAAATTGTATCTTCCTGATATTAGGAGCAAATTTCCATGAGCTACAGATCTGAAAATAAGCTGTGTTAGAATGGAATAATAAAGTGTCAGTTTAAAAAATTGGGACTCTCTAATTGCAGTTTTTCTGACTCGGATGCTGGGTCTGGGCCCTGGGAAGCCTGCTTAAGTTCCTCTGGAGGCAGTCCAAGAATCTGCATTGCCAATAAACTTCTCAGGGTTTCTGCTGCTCAGGACACCTGCCTTCAGAAGACATTGACTTTCTTAAGCACAACAAAATGAGCAGACCCATGTTCATTTTGAGAAAGGTTGGGCCATGGGAAGAAGCCTCCATCCCTGGAGACTCACAGACCCATTTCTGAATATGATCTGTGAGCTGTCTGATTCCTACTCACTCCTTAAACCCAGCAATCATTCCATCTCCCCACACCCCACACACAGCCACACCTACGCACCCCCCCGCACCCCCCCTACCCTCCCGAAAGTGAGATAATAACCTACGCACAGTTTGGTTGTGAGCCCGAAATGAATGGTTGCTCATAGGGAATCAATCACAATGTCCACTCCCAGCTTAGTCTCTACGGGTTCTCAAAAGGCAAGTAGGATGTTTACTCTAAAGTCTTGATTTAAAGGGGAAGAGAAAGAGGATCATCGCTCGACAGGTCAGCTGTGGAGTTCAGCCTGGGAGCTACTCACGTGCCTGGCCCTCCTCATAGTAAAGCCTCTCAGTCGTCATACTGAGTGCACTGGCTGTTTTTCCCTTTGGATGACTCTCTTAAGTAAGATGCTTGCTCCCAAAGAAAGACCAAAGGGTGCTAGTTGCCTCCTCCATGCCTGCTCCTAGATTTGCTTGGTAACAGAATCCTAACTTCAGGGAAAGCAATTCACTGGGGGCGTGGGTGATCTCTTCTTGTTCAGCTCCACACCTAGATGAGCACAGAGCAGAGTTCAGTCCAGCAAAACCATGAACAGGCATCTACTTCCTTCCCAATTGAGTTTGTTTCCCTTTATTTGTGTGACTAACCTTGCTGCTAACTCGGCTAGATTTGGAATCTACTAAAACACAGGCCTCTCGTCACTCCTGTGAGGGACTTTCTCAATTGGGTTTTTGGCATCTTCTGGTGGTGGCCTGGAAGCTTTTTCCCCTTTTGTTTGTTTTGCCGGCTCTCACCAGGAAGGTTATGCATCCCATTGCTATAGCATTCCTTCGCCAGTCTTAGGGATGCTTCTTTGGGCATCCAAGGCAGACCGAAGACCAGTAGCTTTCTAGGAATCCTCCAGGCTTTTTCAACATCAGACTGGGGACTACTGAGATACCCAGCCTCAAGGACTGAACAACTCCTGAAGTCTCAGCCTCTCCGCTGTGAGATAACTAGTGTTGGACATGCTGTAGGATATTCTAATAAACCCACACAGATACAGTCTATCCATTGGGTTCCTTTGGAGAACCCTGACTAAAACACCACACAGATACAGTCTATCCATTGGGTTCCTTTAGAGAACCCTGACTAAAACACCACTTAAACAAGAGGCAAGCACACCACATTCTCGCTCTTTCTTCCTGGAACATAGTTGCAGTGGAGACAGAGCAGCCTTTTGAAATCATAATGGTGATGGCTTAAACGAGGCTAAAAGGAAGGAAATTGGGTCCCCAAAAGTTCAGTGATCAACTACACCAGCTCCAAAGCACTTATTTCCTGCTACATGAAGAAAAATAAGCCTTCATTTTAACCTTTCATTTCGGCTCATGTGCCTATTCTGATATGGCATTTTCTACCTTGTTTTCTAACCCCCGGAATATAACTGATTTATGCCATTGTCAGAGACTGCTAACTCTTGGTGCTCCTAACCGAATAACAAAGCACCCCACAATTTAGTGGCTGAGAATCCTAGGCACGTGTTATCATACGAGACTCTGGGTAGGCACAGTGGCTTCTCTGGTCTAGGCCAGTGTGAGCAGTCGGCTAAGCTCTGGCATGAGCATGCAGTCAGGGCCAGTCTGTTCGCCTAGGTGGGTTTTCTTCCTCCAGCAGGCTAGCCTAGGCTTGCTACCAAGGCAGTGCAGATATCCAGGATAATGAGAGGAAGCGTAGAAAACTGCTCGACTCTTGGTTTAGAGTTAGCACATTATCAGGTTCACTTCAGCCCTACACCACCAGTTTGTACAGGAACTGATCAGAGACCAAAATCAAAGCATAGAAATTATGATACGCGCGCGCGCACACAAACACACATCACACACACACACACACACATACATTCATATCAGCCTATTGAGTCCATTTATATATGCACACGTTTTTAGGACTGGCCCCTTGGAACAATCTTTCAGGGAGCCTGTTCCTGGAGAACATTGATTCTCCTTCTCTTAGTAGCTATGCAGCTCTTGATCTCAGGGCCTTACGAAATCTCTTTCATCCATATTGGGATTCTAGTTATTTTGTGGGTTTTGTTTAAGCAACCATATCGTAGAGGTATCACGGGTGCAGCTCCCTGCCATTGCGGGCCTTGACCCATATGACTCATAAAAGAGGCAGTCAGTCAGAAATGTATATCCACATGAAGAAGGTCAGGAGATGGGGTTGACGAGATGACGGGGGTTAAGAGTGTGCACTGTGTGGTCCCCGGAACCCACACCCAGGCTCCACAGCCACCTGTGACTCTAGATCCTGTCTCCATGCCACCTGCACTCACATGTTCATACTCATACACAGGCACATACATGTAAAGGTGTAATTAAACA